CCTGATGTGCCTGGGCGGATGTGGACTCCCATGGGAATGAGGCAACAGAAGCGTGAGGTGGACTCCGTGTCGCTGAGGAGTGCCCACTGCGGGAGTCGCGGTGGTCATTGCCCCTCGGGAAGCCCTGGCCGCCCCTGGAGCCACTCCTGAAGCATCACCATGGCCCATACATTGTGTTGCCGTGGCTGAAGTCCGAGGCAGGGCAGCTGCACGTCGGGGTAGTGGCCCTGGAAGCCGCGGTCATCCTAGAGGTCATCCTCAGAGGCCTGGCCGCCAAGTGCCTGCCTCGTCCCTCTCGCGAGGGCTTGGGGCTCACTTTCCCGGTGGTCGGCGGCGGATCCATGGGACAGGGGTCTGCTGCTTGGGCAAGAACCACACAGGAGGGGCCTGGGGGCCAGGCGGTGATGGTCAAAGTCCAAGGGGTTCATTGTTTTGTTTTTTTTTAAGATTTATTTATGCATACTGAACTGGGTTACAGGCGGTGAGAGGATTGGGACAGAGTGGGGAGCAGAACAGGCAGAACGACTGAAATACACTGCTGAGGGGACCCACTGCTGCGACATGTGGGTCATCTGTGGGGCTGGGGATTGAACTTGCACTGAAGCAGTTGCAGCTGGCTTGTAGTGCTGCGTCCTAACCCTCTGTGCCCCCAGGGAGGGCCTGCGGCTCATTGTTTCCATCCCCATCTCTCAGGAAGGCTCAAGTTGTCAAGTTGCTGTCACTGGCGGAAGCTGTTGAGACCATTTGAAAACTGATTGGGGACATTGGGGACTTAAAATAGAGGCAGGGTTTCAGACAGTTCATAGATACTCCACACTTTTATTTGCAATGGCTGGAATAAAATAAAAAAGAATAAATGGGAGAGCAAAAAAGTCAGTCTAAATACGGTAAATATAAAATGAATCTGTTAGAACAATCATAGTATTTAAGCGCTACTGTTCTTACTAGGAAGGAAATGACTTAGTTGAATATTGAGAAGTTCAAATCATTCTTAAAGAGCACATCCTCATTAAAGGTTGTAAGAAATGAGAGTATTTTTTTAATAGGGAGTTTATAGAATTTCAAAAATTTCAGTATGTTAATAAGGCCAAGTTAAAGAGACCACAGAAACACAGGCTGTGTGTGGGCTGCTTCTGTTGAAGGCCGGCTTAGAAGTAGACCAAGAATAGATGATTAATCGCAGCTAATTTTGATTCAAAAGGGAGGATAGTTTTAAAATGCTTAATCTCTGGAAGAAAAACTAAGGCGAATTTCTGAGTTTAACAAAATAAGAAAAACCAATACATTTAAAACTCAAAAACAAATGACCTCTTAGGTTAATATAAAATAAAACCAGACTCCTGAATTCCCATTTCTGGTAAGCTCCCCTCACACCATTGCTCCTCCAGAAGCAAGACCACACCAAGCTTTTGACTCACAGGAGATTAATTGCATGAATGCAAAGATGAGCTGTGGCTGGAATGGTGTAGGAAGAGGAAAAAATAATTATCTAGAAGCTGGGACTCCAGGAAGATTTTAGAAAGTATTCATCAATCTGGAAAGAGGGTTTGGTGGTCTTGGAAGAGCAGCTGAGTGGAAGGTGAGCTCTGCCTTTAGCCTTTTTCATGCTCCAAAAATTCTTCACAACCCTATGTGGACTCAGTAATACTTTGTCTGGACATTGGGTCTCATGTTTTTATAAATTAATATGTGTGAATTGAACACCAACTATGTACAACATAGTGATTTTAATTCTTTAGTTATAAATAAGAATATATATAAATAAGAATAATATATAAAGCTGTATATATATAAGAATATATATGTATATAAATAAGAATATATATATAAATAATAATATATAAAGCTGTAGAATAATGTATAAAGCTGTGTGTTGCAAAATGAACTTATACTTACTTAGTGGGAGCTAGGTATGTAGAGTCTAAAGAATGAAAGCCACCATTTTAAAGTGAACATTATTAAGAGGGTAAGAATAGCAAAAAGAAAAAAGAATTAAAAATTAAGTAACTAAAAACCCTTCATTTTGTTCATCTGTTCAGGGGTGGGGTGTTAATGGATGAAAACAGTAAAATATGAGACAGAATCATGTGGAAGAGTTCCAGAAAGCACGTAAAGGAGCATGTGGGGTGTCTGGGGGGGGCATCACCCCAGCTAACATACCGTTACATTAGAAACTTAGAGTGTGACAGGGAACTAGGCGAGGGGGCTCTGGGCTTGGCTGAACTAGGGCTCTGAGAGGCTTTATTTCAGCCTAGGGGAAGAAGGAGGAGAAAAAAACCCACAGTTGTGCTAGTACTAAAAAGTACATGGCTTGGGCCAAAATGTGGCTTGAATTCAATGCTTACAGAAAATTCCAGGTGTGACAAATGTATAGAAGACCAAAAAAGCAGATTGCACTTAGTGTGAACATAAGACCCTCGCAAGGCTCCTGACACATCCTGCACAGGAGCAGAACTCTACCCACGGTGCTAGGATCACCTGATGGGGACTGGCGCTGGAGACAGGACACCACAAAGGAGCAGGCACCCCCCATGCTGAGGGAGCCCGTTGTCACTCCCTGAGTGAAAGCACAGGGGTTAGCTCAGGTTAGGATTTTCCACCTGTGGGTCAATAATGTGTGTAGGTCTACAAAGGATAGATAGCATAGGACAGGATGACTTCAAAATACTTAGGAAGTGTGGGCCCGCCCTGGTGGCGCAAAAGGTGAAAATGCAGCACTAGGAAGCTATCTGCAGCCACTGCAGCATGACTGGACGAGTTCAACTCTCGGCCAGGAGGTGACCCACATGATGTGGCGGACCTCTCCTGCTTAACCCTCTGCTCCCCGCAGCAGCGTGTTTCAGTCAATCTGCCTGTTCTGCTCCCCACTGTCTCTGGTGAATCCTCTCACCTGCACACCTCTGGCCTGTACCCCAGTTCTTATATGCATAAATAAATATTTTAAATAAAGTACTTAGTAAATGTAATCAATAAATAAGGGGTCACATATCTTTTATATATATTATATTATACTTAAATAATCCTTGAACTAAAAAGTGTTTAGGTTGTGATCCGGACCAGCCGGTTATGAGATCGAGTGGTGGCGAGGGATGAAAAAACACTGACACGCTAGAGAGGGTTCTAAGGGCGAAAGGGCTCTCGTCCTCTCTCTTTACTGCCTTTTTATCCTTTCTTTCAGTTAGTAACTTTTCACCCCCCTCAGTTTCCTCCCCCAGGGTGCCCACATCCTGGTACATGCTGTTTCATTCGCACACATCCTATTTTGTTAGTTCGCACGGGTTGTAATCTGGAACACTGTTTCCAGGTGCTGGCTGGTGGGCACTTCCTTGTTCCTATTACTTGTGCCTCTTAGATAGGCAATCATTATATGGTGAGCTCTGTGGTAGTCAGGCAGTGAGTGACTTTTGCTGCGCCACCAGGTAGGGCCGCTATTTTAGTTTATTTTTTAAAGATTTCTTTATTTATGCATACAAGAGCTGGCATGTAGGCCAGAAGTATAGGGGGCAGGGGTGAGAGGATTCACCAGAGAGTGGGGAGCAGAATAGAGAGATCTACTGCTAAGGGGAGTGGCAGGCAGACAGGAGAGGTTTGCTGTGCCATATATTGGTTCGCTCCCTTGCTGGGGATTGATCTTGTGCCACAGTGGCTGACCATAGCTTGACAGGGCTGAGACTGTAACCCCTGTCCCACCAAGAGGTTCCATGGGCCCTTTGAGAAAGTTAAAGAACCTTCATGGTTGTGGTACACTAGATCATAAAAGTCTATTTCAAATACAATTGTATACTCACTTATTTGTCTTCATTGGACACTGTACAGCAGTGCAATTGGCACACATCATGCCGTGTTTGGTGCAGACCTCTACTCTGACAATGTTCCTGCTCAAGAGGCACAGGAGCCTTGTAGAAGAGATATGAGTGAGTCCAACAGCTTGCTAAAGGCCATTGGCAGCCCTGACATTAGTTATGGAATGCTGCACTTGAAAGCGAGAGTAACAATTCCTTTTGTGATCTAACCACACGGTTAGGTGAAGGTGGTTTCCCTCACCACTTATCTGCAACCTGGTCCCACCACCTCTGCGGAGGAAACTTCTAGAATGTTCCTCCTCAAAGACCTCAATAGAGGGCATCCCTTCTCACCAGCCTACCCTCTCCCTTGTCTCTCTCATACAAGCTACCAGTCTCCACCACTCCAATTTCTGTGCCTTGTTAAAGATGTGAACTTCAAGATTTGGAACTCTTCTAGAAAAGATCCCTCCCCCATTTATTCACTCCTCAACCTCTAACACAGAGCATTTATAGGTGAATTGCTTGTCACATTAAAAAATACCAACCAACCAAACAAACAAAAAAACCAAAGCCAACATTTGCCAACAACACACACTAAATAGTTTATTCTTTCCAAATGGGGCCTGTGGTAGGGTTAACCATCTTAATATACATTCAGCACTCTTTGAAAAGAGCCCACGTTGGCATCCGCGGCCCCCCAGTCTTGATACCGTCTGTACTCCTGGGGCCTCAGTAGGTACTGGCACCCCTGGTAGTCAGGAAGCTCGTACAGGACCCAAAAGCCCTCCAGCACGTGCAGGGAGCGCAGCTCACTAAGGTGGAAGCCGTCCTCGAGGCGTGAGCCGTCATCGCTCAGCTCCATCATGAGGCCCTTGTGGTCCTCTCTCGTACAGTTGCAGCTTCTGGGGGCCTGTCTGCTGGGACCCAGAGAGAAGCAGCGAACAGCAGGTCAGCTTGATCCCTAAGGGATGGGGTGGTCTGCCTAAGGCCTGAGACCCTGAGGTTGTTGTGAGTGATATGGATATGTATGGGTTCGGCTTTGACTAGCATTTCAAAATATTTACAAGCCCCATTTTCTATTTTTTATGTAGGAGATGGAATTTTTAAGAGGCTCAAAGTATGGCTTGAAATCCATCAAAAATGCAAATAGCTTGATGTGTATCAATAATTCCCTGGGTTCATGTAAAACCTATACATGGAAGGTGGGAGTGGACTGTACGGTATTTCGTTTAACATTTTCTCCCAAATTTATAGATTTACTATTAAGGTAGGATTTTAAAAATCTCATTCTTTGTGGTGATTGTAAGGTAGTAAATGCAAATGCTGAAATATGATGTTTTATAGCTGGAATCTATATAATGTTATAAACAATGGTAGTTCAATAAAAAATATTTCTAGTGCCATCAGGATTCTTTATTTCTATGATATAATAGAAATTTGATTTCTTTGACAAGTAAATATAAGTAAAGGAAAGACAGACTCATGTTTAAGGAAGCATTTCCTGGAGCTCGAAATTTCACATCATTATGAGTTTCTTGGTTCTGTGGATAAAGGGCTTGTCGACTGTTTGATATGAATGAAAGGAGGGAAATTTTCACATAATTTGGGGTGCGATTATTCATCAGACATTTATGCATAATTATAAACATATCCGCATGGAATTAATTCATCAGTCTGTGTAAAAATTTCTTTTTTGGGGCTCTCCCTTGTGGCACAACTGGTTGAAGCAATGCACTATGAGGCTCTCTGAAGCCACTACAGAACAAGTTCAATCCCCAGCCAGGGAGCTGACCCACATGGCACAGCAGACCTCTCCTGACCTGCCCGCTGCTCCCCTCACCACTGTATTTCATTCCATCTGCCTGTTCTGCTTCTACTCTGTCTCTGGTGAATCCTTTCACCCACTACACCTCTGGCCTGCACCCCAGTTCTGTAAGCATAACTAAATAAATCTTTTAAAAAAATTTCTTTTTAAATCACAAACTTCAGGAGAAAATTGGTTTAAACAGTGATCTGAAACCAGAACTTACTGACTTTCCACATGAAGAAAAATTACCTTTTCGTGATATGTTTGAACGATCTATTCTTGCACAAACTTTTCAGTTTCTGCTAGTTTAACATGGAATCTAATTCATTATCAATGCCTTTGCTGTAGGTACAAATTAATTTGCTAGACATACTGCTCCACCACCCCAATCAGCTTCCTGCCTGCCCATTTTGTATTTGATCCCACTGCGATGTGACGCTTAGTATAGACAACTTATAATTGATAGAACACAAAAAATAAAAGTGGCTTTTCCTCTAAGTGAATTCTTTCTTATATATTCTACTGTTTCTGTGTAGCTACCTGGGCTCAGACAGGTACGCCCACATCCCTTATTCTAACCTCCATCAATAACCCAGCGAAGACTCAGCGTGACAGAAATCAAGCCGCACTCACTTCCGGGATGCGGCAACAGGAGCGCACCACCGGGTCACCCAGGCCCATCCAGGCGGGTAGTCGGGGTCGCCCCGCCCCTCCGCAGGAAGTCCTGGTGGCCCTGGTAGTTGGGGCGGCTCGTAAAGCATCCAGATGCCGCTGTCCACGAGGATGGAGTTGCAGAGACTCAGGTAGGTTGGCAGGATGGGGCAGTCGTGGCTGCTGTCATAGCAGCGGCCCTGGAAGCTGCGGTCCTCATAGAAGGTGATCTGCAGAGGAAGAATTAGTCAGTTCTTTCCTGCCCATAGACTCTGCATAGAGGCATCCTGCCGAAGCCCCTTTCGAGCTTGTTTTTTGCTCACCTTCCCCATGGCGAATTGACACGAGTTCAGCGCAAGGGGCAAGGGACGCGAGGGCCTCCGGTCTATATAGCAGGGTGCGTTGGCAGGAACAGCACAAAAGAGCCCCAGCGGGTGAGTAAGGGGATTTTATGGATCCCTTTTACATGCTGCATTCAGTGGAAATGCCTGTAGGGTTTGCTCTCATTCTCTAGTATATTCTAAAGCTGTCCTGTGTGTGTCCCAGAGTTGCTTTTATCTGGATTCTTCGTGTTTCTAAATTTATCAGCACAGCAGGCTGAACTTTTGACAGAAAATTTATATCTCTACACATATCATTTAACCGAGCCTGGAAAAAAAGACTTCCTGGAAAATAATGTATGTCTTTATAGACATGCCCCAGATTTCTATGGAAACTCTCAGTGAAGTGGAAATCCACAAATTTCTTAAGTGGTTGTTCTTGACCTCAGCCATCACTTTTAAAATTTCTTCCTGTCTTCCCTGTATAGCACAGAATACAAATCTGGCTTTATTCTGAACTGTCTTGATGCATTACGTCATATCTCCTGATGCTCTTTTTCGTCAACTCATATAGATAGAAATTGGTCCCTGGAAGTCAGATTATGATAAGAGTCAAGGAAAGATTTCTGTGATTATTGGGATCAAACAGAGGCGTATACAGCCATTCTGTGCAATTTTAGTGAAATGATCAGATCCCTTCTCCTATGGACTGGACACTTGCATACCGATGTCCTCCAACACAAGTGTACCTGTGTCTCTCCTGTAATTCTGCAGAAGAGTGGCTTATGCTTTCCCTGTTACCCTCCATTCTCAGCTCCTGTCTCGTGGACTGGATTAGCCTGTCCCCCTCTGTGCCCCTGTACCCCTTCAAGAATGGCACAGGCTCAAAAGTTCTCCTGCTTCCTTACAGATCTTTCTTCTCTCACTGATGTCCATTTCCCCCTCCTCTACCCACACTCATCTGTTAACTGCAGCTACCATCTCAGAGTGGCATCCTAGCTCAGCTATCTCCTGACTCTCCAATCCCGTCCTTCTCCAAATCGCACTCTGCCAGGATGCTAGGGGGACCCAAATCAAAACACATCGAGCCATTCCCCTGCTGTAGAGTGAATATTTGTCTCCTTACCCCCACCCCCCAAATTTGTACACTGAAGTCCTGTGATGGCACCGTGATGGTCTGGAGATGGGTCTTTGGCAATAACTAGACTGTGAGGGTGGGATCCTCATGGTGGGATAAGTGTCTTTGGAAGAAGAGGTGAAAGATTTCCCTCCCCCCAGCTGCTGGTGTGAAAACAATGAGAAGCCTCTTGCAAACCAGGAAGCAGACTCTCACCAGATAGGGGATCCGCAGTCACTCTGTCCTTGAACTTCCCAGCTCCATAACTGGGAGAAATAAATGTTTAAGCCATCTAAACTATGGTATTTTTACTACAGCAGCCGCTCACTTGCTTGGAACACGTCATTAGCTTCTATTGCCTCCAGAGTCAAGTACTGGCCCCAGCCTGATGCTGGCTGTCCCCAGAATTACTGTCCAATAGTACTGAGTCACATAGGTTCCCAAATGCACAATGTTCTTTGCACAATTTTGTTTGCGACTGTATTGATCCTTCTATGAATCACCAGTTCTGCATTTTTTTACCCCAAGAAATTCCTGCCCACAAAGCTCAGTTCAAGAGTCAATTCCTCTATAAAGATTTTCTTGAACCCTTTTCAATCTTCGAGGCCAAATTAAGTACCATCTACTTGGTTTATGCCAATTCTCTCAGTATCATCAATAATGGCACATCCTTTCACCCTCAAACAGGACAACATATTGTATGGTCTGCTCTGTTGAGAAGCCACCTGGGAGTGGATATGGAGACCCCAAGGGAATAGGATGGAGACTGTGACAAATGAGCAACCAGGTTAGCACAACCTAGAACAGAAAAGAGAGGAGCAAGGGAGGGAGAGAAAAGCAGCTCACCCAGCAGCCTGCTGGACTTTGCAGACCCTCTGGAGCCGGGGGGCCTTCAGCTGCTAAGTGTGATGCTGTTGCTGTCTGGATCTAAACTTTCATCTCCCCTTTAGAGCCTCTGTAATAAATCTGGCTGCACACATGAATACCTTATGTGAGATATGGAAAGGAAGTATGTCTCTCATTTGGGTGAGTAGGGTGCACTGACAGGATGAGATGGGGGTGCATGTGGGTAGACAAATAATGCATTGGTGACAGGGCAGGAGTTCAGAGGGGAGTGGGAAAAGCACAAACCACTCTTTCCCTCTCTTTTTTCCATGGGGATCATGGGTCAGGAGGCGCTCATCCTGGCATTTTTCAAGTTGTCCTCACAGCTCTTGTGAAAGGAATTGAAGTCAGCAGAGGCATCATGGCCTTCGGGACAAAGAAAACACTTCTTGTCCTGTGCGGCTCTTGGGAAATACACGCCATGCTCAGCGCCTTGTGTTTTTTGCTGAAAGAAACTGCTGGGATGAGGTTGGTGGTTTTGTCTGTGGTGACATGTGACAATCCTATAAGTTCCATGACTTGAAATGCCCACAGACAACAACAGCAAAAATGCCAGACAAACAAAAAAAGATCCCCCAACTGAACAATTTTCTTTCCCAAATCACCTCATCAGTACGATATGATTTTGATCAAAAGAAATATTTTGCATATGTTTACATAGAAAGAAAATTAGTGTATGCTATGCCAAAATGTCAATCATGGTTATCAAAGAATGGTAAATTTATGAGCTTAGTTTATATTTTTATTTATCCTTTTTGCTGTTTTGCTGTTTTATAATTTCCTATTATAACTGGTATTACTTTCATGAATTGAAAGCATAAAGCCAATTTGTAAATGTGTAACTCTGAGTTGCTGGTGGGAAGCAGAAGATTCTGGAAATTAGAATATTTTGTCTTGAGTCTTAACACTTTCTGGACTAAAAATAAACAGTTCTGCTAACCTTGTAAGACACTGAAACAGCAGGAAAACACAGTCTTCCATCCACTTTCCTTCCCACCACCTACCTTTTCAAATTGCTTTTTGCTTTCCCAACAAACATTATGATTTGCCTGAATTTTCCCACCTTGAAGCCTCAAGTTCCCAGTTAACTGGAATCCAAGTAAATGCTGTGAAGAGCTTTCTCCATGGCTGCTGACCTGCAGCCTGAGTTTCACTCCGTAGACATGCAGGGATAGAGGACCATGAGATTCCCTAGCTGCATCTTTAGTCAGTCATCTCGTGTGTGTTGAAAGATGAAATCAAGCACCCTGCTGTTTCACTACCTCAGGAGGGGATCTCAGGTCAGTCTCCAGCAGAGCCAGTCATATAACCAGGTGCCATCTCCGAAAGCCCTTAGGCAAAATGGGAAGCAACCAGGCAGATAGTAAAAGGAAAGCCAGCAAGTGTCACAAGTTAAAAAATGTTCCCTCACAACTAACAGAGCTGGCAACGTCCTGGTCAGAAGCTGTGACCTGATTACTGGTCACTGACACACTTCCCCTGCCTCCCGCCCAGTGGCTACGGCTCCTGGTAAGCCTCCTTGTCAACCATAATGGGACTAGTATGGGAAAGGCTGCCTGGTGTTCCCCCACCACAATCAGATATAGATGTCAACACAGAGTTTTCAACAAAAGCCAGCAGACAAGTCTTTGCTCATGGCAGAGGAAACACTTCCACGGGAAGATGGCACATCAAAACCACCAGCAAAATATAATCTGCACTCATAATCATTTGGGTGAATTGTTCTCACACGTATTTATTTCCAAGCTAAGCAGTGGGATAGGCAGCATTCTGGAAAGGCTTTGAAAGGCTGGAATATTTTGTTTTCCTAGTTGTTATATTCTATCAAAAGAAGGTCTGAATCCATTTTTCTCTTAATGCTTTATTGAAATGATTTAAAATGTTTCTATAGTACATAGATCATGGTGAAGAAATCAGTGCCAGCTTAATTTAATTTTGGATAGAAATTTTGAAAAATGCCCCCATGTCACCACTGTGCCATACTCTGAGTAAAATGCACTACAAAGTCAGCTGGCTTTGATGTGGATATAGTGTATGTGTTAGGATTCTCCAGTCAGATTGTCTTCTAGTCATGCTGAAATAGCGTAGGATACAAACATGTTTAAAATCAATGTACTCCACTCTCCCTGGTGGTGCAATGGGTTAGGACACAGCATTGCAAGAGACACTTCAGTGAGAGCTCGATCCCCCGCCCTGCTGTGCCCGCTCACATGGCACAGCAGATCTCTCCTGTTTCATCCGCTGCTCCCCTCAGCAGTGTACTCAGTCATTTGCCTATTCTCCACTCTGTCTCTGGTGAATCCTCTCACCACCCCTGCACCTCTGACCTGTACCCCAGTACATGCATGAATAAATAAATCTTAAAAAAAAAAGTTTAAAAAAATCTGTAAAAAAATGAACCCATACAATATGCTCTAAGAAAAGAAAGATGGGCATTTGAAATAACACTTCAATAAAGTTGTATCAAAACTGAACCATAATGAAAAAGGCGCTGGCAAGAGTAGCTGGTTTAAGATGTCCTTCCTCTCCCAAAGAGTAAAGGGGAAATGGTGCAATTCCAAGTGTCTAAGTGACCTGGAGATAGAAAGATGATTTTAGTAACAAGCACACCCACTCACTGTCAACATAGACGTTAGCTGTCAATCCAAAGGGAATTAGGTCAGATATCAGTTATTAATTACTAACAAACATAGATTAAAGTAGAGGAGGTGAGGGCTCTGCCAGGTGGCACAACGGGTCAATCACCGCCTTATGAAGCTCTCCGAAGACATTGCAGCACAAGTTTGATCCCCAGCCAGGGAGCTGACCCACATGGCACAGCAGACCTCTCCTGACCCTCCCGCTGCTCCCCTCGGCAGTGTATTTCAGTACATCTGCCTGTTCTGCTTCACTTTGTCTCTGGTGAATCCTCTCACCACCCCTGCACCTCTGGCCTGTACCCCATTCTGTAAGCATAAATAAATCTTTTTTTTAAAAAGTAGCAAAGGTGAAAAGAATGTCCATGGAACTGTTCTGAGACACTTGGAAATTGAGTTGTGTTTCTGAAGTAAATTCAAGATTCCCACACTGAATCCTGTACAGGAGGAAAAATGACTTAACAGGAAATTATTGGATCAATTCATAAAATCGATAGAGTAGATCAAATAAATACTAATGTCGGGGCCTCCCTGGTGGTGCAGCACAAAGAAGCTTAAACCACTTCCGCATGAGTTTGATTCCCGCCTGCCCAGGGAGGTGATCCACATGGTGTGGCAGACCTCTCCTGACCCGCCCGCTGCTCCCCTCAGCAGTGTACTTTATAGATCTGCCTGTTCTGCACCCCACTCTGTCTCTGGTGAATCCTTTCACCTTTCGCATCTCTGACCTGTACCCCAATTCTGTATGAATAAATAAATGAATCTTTAAAAAATAAAGTACTAATGTCAGATTTTCTGAAGTCGATAACTAACCTGCTGTTATTTAAGATAATGACTTTGTTCTATCATATACACACAGAAGTATATAGGAGTAAAGTGACATGGTGTATGTAACTTCCAATGGCTTAGAAAAAGTGATAGCTCTACATTACAGAGGGGGATGGAGAATAATGAAGCTGGTTGAGCAAAGCGTTAAATAGCAATTGGCAAATTAAGGAAAAGGTAGACAAGGGTTCTTTGTACCTTTTCTGTACTTTTTCTCTAAACCTGACACCATTTCCAAATTAAGAAATGAATAATAAAGTAAGACTTTTTTTGGTTAGCCATACCCAAAGCTAATGATTTCTTTTCCCCTTAGTAATTGTGTATTATGCGTGCCACATACTTTATTGAATTTCATACACATTGCTTTGAACTTGAATTTAAATTGCCCTTTCCTCATTTCTGTGTATCAGTGCAAAGAAGGCCCAGGAGCTGAAGAAGCCTTCGCTAAGGAATCTTCCCCTTCTCTTACTCCAATTCACTAATCAACAATAACGAATGATTATCCACTGTCTCTGAAGCACTTTACATACATCTGGGAAATAAGAAGGAAATAAAATATATGTTTCCATCAAGAAATCAACAATCTTCAACAGTTGTTGAATAAAACATGCATCAGATAAGATTATATTCTCAAAATAACATATCAGCGTGTAATCTTTAAGGTTAGATTAGGTGTGAATAGGAGGTGAAACATAAACTTCACAGGGTCCATGAAATCCTAGTTCAAAGATCTTGTTTTTCATAATTAAGTTTAAAATCTAGATTAGCAGTGTGCACGTGCATGTAGGGATGTGTGTGTATGTGTGTGTTATTTCTGGAGTCATTACTGTCTTTCAGTTGTTTGTTGCTTTCTTTTTAAAAACTTGCTATCATCAACCTCATATTTTAAGAAAGTAACTTCAGCTTACTTCAGAATATTTTTCGTTAACAAAGATACAGTTATAGAAAAGCTATACCTTCCAATCTCACTACGGTGAATATCTTTAAAAGAAAACACAACAGAGCCTTCCCTGGTGGCACAGTGGGTTAAAGCACAGCACTAAGAAGCTAAGGCATGAGTTCAATCCGAGCCCCGGAGGTACCCACATGGTGCAGCAGACCTCTCCTGACCCTCCCACTGCTCCCCTCAGCAGTATACTTCGTTGATCTGTCTGTTTTGCTCCCGGCTCTGTCTTGGGTGAAGCCTCTCACTGCCCCTGCACCTCTGGCCTGTACCACAGCTCTGTATGCATAAATAAATAAATCTTAAAAAAAAAATACAACATAGTGCCCTTTCTGGTAGTGCAATGGATTAAAGTGCAGCACTCAAGCTTCAGCATGAGTTCTATCCCCTGCCAGGGAGATCCCACATGGTGCAGCAGACATCTCCTGTCTCTCCTGCTGCTCCCCTCAGCAGGGTACTTTGTCAATCCGCCTGTTCTGCTCCCCACTCTGTTTCTGGTGAATCCTCTCACCACCTGTACCCCAGTTCTATATGCATAAATAAATACATCCTTAAAATCACAACATAGTATTTCTTAATTCTGTGATAGTTTTGTTCCTGGAATAACACATCAAAAACCTGATGTAACCAGCAAATGTAAGCACTTCCTAAAGCATTTACCATGATAAGGTTGTATTTCTAATCAGTCAATAGTTTGCCTTTGAAACCTGAATAAATACTAAATTCTATGTGGTCTGGTCTATTCAGAAACTCCCATTTACAATTTTTCAGTTCTTACTTGTGTTTCTTGAAGCAAAGCCAATTTGTAAATTAGTGCACCAGTTTTCAAAAGTCCCTTTCCTTCTTACCTGACAGACCTCCAGTCAACAAAATCCCATTCAACAAAGCCCTAAAACAGCCCTGGTTCTCTGCCTGTACTACCTTTCTGCTTCTCTCCCTTTTCAGCTTTTATTATGCTGACTTACTTGATCTTTCTGGCTTCTTTTTAATTTTCCTTTTTTTAAAAAAATTTTTGCATAGAAGAACTGGGGTGTAGGCCAGAAATTCAGGGACAGGATTCACCAGAGGATTCACGAGACACAGAGTGGGAAGCAGAAGATGTGGGTCCACTGAAATACACTGCTGAGGGGAGCAGCAGGGACACAGGAGAGGTCTGCCTGGCCATGTGTGGGGAGTGCCTTGGCTGGGGATCAAACTCACCCCTTAAGCTTCCTTTTTACTTTGCACATTCCAGTTGAGAGTCTCCTCCCTTTCTCCTTTTTTTGCCAGCCCTGCACCTCTCTGACCATTGTATCAATTCTGCAAAATAAGTGTGCCAGGAATCAGATGCACAGAGTAGGTTTAGCAGAGATGCAAAGCAGGCAAAAATAAAGGGTTCAGGACTAGAAATGTTTGAAGCACAGATATCAATATGAATATCCTAGACATACTTACTTGAACCAATAGAATTATAGCTGATTAACTCTAAATAGCATTTCTCAAACAATAATGGTAATTTTTTTCCAAAGAATTCACTCTGTGCCAAGCATTAAAAAATCTCTTACACATAATCTTAGCTAATTGTTTCACCAATTTTACGACACTGGTATTGCTTCTACTTTTTAGAGAGGAAACCAAGGCACAGAGTTGGTTAAATAACTTGCCTGAAGTCACACTGCTGGTACATATTGGACTTTAGGCTTGAACCAAGAGCATCTAACTCCAAAGGCTACACTTCTGGCTATCATAACACAGTCCCAAATATCTAGTATCGGTGTGATCCCATTTGTATTTCTAGACCTACTTTGTTCTTAGGCTGTGTATCCAAAGGTAAGTTTTTTGATGATTTCCTCTCCATGGTGTTTACTTCCCTTGTAGAGTTGTTCTTCACATTTTTAGTCAGTGTTCGCCTTCTTAGCTTGAAACCTAGAGACACATGCAGAAACCATAGACGCATATAAATGTTTTTGTCTTTAATGAATCTACCCACAGAATCTTCCCTCCTAGAGAGTTTTGCTTCCATCACCAAAGGGTCTGAGATAGAAGATTTCCAACTTTCAATATTGGAATGATATCGCGTCATAAATGCTGCAGACTCTTACATTGAAACAGAAAGAGAAATCTTATATAATGACCTTGACCTTACTTTCTGAATTCCCCTCCTAATTTTTCTTAAATTTCTCTAAGTAGATGAAGTAAACAAGCTTACTCTGTTTGCGGGCATATTCTGCTGCTTTGGGTGCTGTTAACATGGCAAAAGGGTGCAAAGAGAGGCGGAAAGGTGGAGCTCGGGGAACCTGAAAGGAAAACCGTCCCGATTTTAAAAGCTGCACAGACGTTGTGCCATTAACACCTGCTAGTTATAGAAGCTTGACCAGCTTCACCAACTAACAGTCTTTAGACATGACTATGTTTACCAATAAGGCTCACCTTTCATGGGTCATGATGGCCCACGTATTTTTTGCTCCCATGCCCAGTTCCTTTGACTTACATGCCTTTCATATACTCATGCCTACACATAGTTCTTTAGCTCAAATAGTTGTTTCCTTTTCTGCCTAGAGGGTCCCACTTTTCTGGTAAGACACAGCCCAAATATCACATTTTCTGAGAAATTTGTCCCAATGTCTCCCTACCTCCATTCTCCCCACCCCTCAAAAATCCCAAACCATAAACATAAGGCACAGTTACTGACTCACTCATCTGTAAACTCCTGTGTTGTCACACAGAACAGTGTGTTATAGTTTGTAATAAGGGCTGCTGCTTTTCTTCACCAGACTCTCTTCTAAGCCTAGAACTATCCATTTATTCTTCTACCCAACATGTTTTCAATGAACACCTATTTTGAGCTATTAGGAGTTGTGATTAATAAGACACACAAGAGTTCTGCTTTTCTAGAGCTGGATGAGGAAGGACAAATAATAAGCTCTTAGAAAACTAGGATAATTACATATTTGACCAGAGTAATACACTAAACCAGATGATGTGCTAGGGAGTGATGGGCAGTCACTTCTGCAGTCATAATGGCCTCTAGGAGGAAGTGATGTCTCTGCTGACACTTGTAGGGTGAACAGCAGTCTTCTGTGGGAGATAGGAGAGATGTGTCCCAAACAAAGGAAATAGAAGGCCTTCTTGTAGTGAAAATGTGTTTTCTAACAAAGGAAGGAAGCCAGTGTGGCTGGAGCAGAGTGAAAGAGGAGAAAATGGCAGATGAGGCAGAAGAAAGAGAACCCAGCTCATAGGGGCCCTTCATGGTAACATGGAATTGTGTATCACATTGATGCTGGGGTGCAGTGGAAGCCAGAGAAATATTTTTAAGCACTAGTGTGACAAAGTTTGATGTAGTTTTTTAAAGATCACTCTGGCTGCAGTGGATTGGAGCGTGGCAGTAGGAAAGCCAGTTAGCTCACTTAATCTTTTAACTCTGATGCCTCAAGAGAGGGACTAGGACATAGCAGGCCTCCAAGTGTTACTGACTAGTTGAAGACCCACTATTCTAGTCAAGGCAACAGTGATTCATAGCATGGACCTTACTGACAAACTGACTGTATTTGAACGCCATTCACACCATCTACAAGACATGTGATTTGGGGCATGTTATTTATATTTTCTGTGCCTATTTCTTCATGAGATAACAATAATAATGTAGGGTCTGTTAGGGACTAAAGAGTTAGCATCTGGAAATCCCTTAGAATAGTGGCTGGCAAAAACTATTGGCTTTAAAATGAGAGTAAATATTATCATATTTATCATCATCATTTTCATCATCACCATTTCTCTCAATGACTCAGTTTTTCTGTTGTTTTCCTCCTAGAATTATCCACGATAGCAGCCTGGCCTCCCCTGTCTTCTGCAGGGTTCTGCCTCATCTACCAGACAAAGGTTGTGTGAATTGCTGACAAAGGACCAATTAGAACCAGGAAGCCTAAATAATTAACATCCTTCTGCAATATCAGCAATTATGTTTTCTTAGTTTCAGGAATGATATGATGGACCTCTTATTTCTAAAGAGAAAAGATTAATTACAGTGCTCTCTTTTTGTATGCTTTGCAGCAATATGCCATCTCATGGAGAGGGCACCTTACTGTGATATAGAACTGGGGCAAACACCAATAGGTGAGGGTGACATCTTTAGACGTCCAGGTTAGTAGAACATTTTTTACTCTATCACCGAAGAAACTGCCTTAATGCACTCACACTTCATTAAGATCATGTTCTTGAAAATTGGTATTCCTTCAAAGTAAGTCTAAATTTGTATTCCCACAAGAATTTGAGCTCTGGGACAATTGTGTGGCTCACATAAGAGGTCCCCCCCCTTTTCATTATAGACAGGGATCATATTTATTTATTATTTTCCAATTGACATTAGGAATAAGCAGAGACTTGGAAGAAGGCTGGCTTCTGGATGGCTCTGTGGAACTGCAGTGGGGCCAGGCCTGTCCTGTTTACTTCTAGACTCAGCTTATCTGAGAAGGAAATGTCTGTGTTTCATTATTGCTATGGATTTTCTGTTGCTTCATAAAAAAAAACTTGGGTTAAACAGTAAACGAGGCTGTGTTCTCTTTATTGACAGAGTAATGCATCACCACCACAGCAGGCACGCTTCAAAATCTGATCTGAGTCTTTCAGTGGCAAAATATTTACTGAGAGTTTATCTCAGTAAACTCTCTAGCACTGCAAAGAATTAAACATAAGCATAAACTGCGGTCAGACCTTCAAGAAGAGCATAATCTCTTCATCAAGGTAACTGTAAAACAGAAAGTAATGGAAGGTGGCTTTGTGTCAGGGCGGGACAATTATGGTCAGCAGGGCCAGGTGTACATAAGGAAAACTGGTCCACACAACACCCTCAACTCACTGCCATACTTTGCAGGTGCAACACTAATGCTTTTCACATATTAGTTTCTTTATCCATGGGGGATGATAGAACTTGATGATCTTCTTAACTTTCTACTTCTTCTTTTTTTTTAATATTTTCAAATTTATAGAAAAGTTTCAAAAGTTATACAAAGGAATTCTGAATCCCCTTCACCCATATTCCCCACTTTTTTTATTTTAACTTTTTAAAAATAATATAGTTTATTTTTTAT